ATATATAAATAGTCGAGGCACCACACAATACACATGGCCTGAAGATTGCGTTCAATCATGAAACATACTGTAGCTAATCAGTGTTGAACTCAAAGAGGAACAAATTATCATTTTCCCTCCAGTTTCAAAAGTAGACAAACTTTGTTGTACATGAACATGTACCAACATTTCCAGGTGAACTGAAATTTGTACATTCTTTTGTTTTCAGTGGATTCAAGCTGACTAGTAATTCTAGTAAAGAAAAACATCCCCTTCAGCTGCATCTTGGAAAGAAAAAGGAAGGATCTGGGATGATTGCTTTGCTATATAATCTGACACCTAAAAATTACAATAAAACATTTCCACAGACATTTGGATATTCCTTCCGATTATCTGAAAAAGAATAATCAAGGAGAAGAAGATTTAGGGAAGATAAGAAGTTAGAGTATTGGAATGGTCTCAGATTTAGTCACATGCAATCCTATAATGTCTTCTTGGTTGTTAAATCTTATATTATCCAGAGTTAACAGATTTTGAAACCGGGTAAAAACTTAAAATTTCAGCTACTGATTTTTCAAGGAATAAGACTCTTTAGGTCATCGTAAAAATGTCGTCGCCCTTCTGCCTGCTGTAAGTTTATTAAACTTATTGAATTTCTTCTTCTTCTTCTTCTTTGTGCCTTGCCCCTTCAGGAATTGAGGGATCATGTCTCTCCACAACTTCCTCTCCATTGCAGCTTTTAGTAAGTTTTGTCTTTTCATCATCCTCCCAGTCCCGGTTTTGCTAAACATTTACTCAAACTCGTTTGGCAGATGGCTAGCTGCCTTTCACGGACACGCTTGCCATCAGTATGTCTTGAGTGTGTCAAATTCTCCAAGCCCTTTGTCTGTATAATATGTTCTAGAACTGTCTCTTTGTGATTTTAAGTGGTAGTGTCCTTTTTGTTTCCATTTTCCTTAAGACTTTATCATTATTCACACGTTCAATCGATGATTTTCTCCGCATTTTCCCGCAGAAGTACATTTCTGTTATCTCAAATCTCTTCTTCATCTGTAAGGAGATTGTCATGCATTCGCCGCCATATTAGAAGACTGATATCATATAACAGTTCAGTTAACTTAGTTTATTATACATAGCGTCTCAGATATTGGCATGCAACCGATACATATGGAGGAAGCTAGTTAGGTGATTGTCAGGCGCAACGACCCTAAGATCACACCTTGTCATGTGACATGATGATGAGGACGAGGAGAAAGAGGAGGAAAAATCGAGTGAGAGAAAAAGAGGAAGTGGTGATGAGCGAGAGAGAGAGAGAGAGAGAGAGTGGTCGGGAGAGAGAAAAATGAGAATGAAAGAAATATAAAGAAAGGATGGAGGTTCCCGTGTTTTGGGAAATGCAATGGTTATTTGGTAACTAGATGTAGACTAAGTCTGCCTCAGAGCTTATGTAATTGTCTATTTATTTCTGACAATACATTCAGTTAAACCAGACTTAGAAATTCTAAGGTTCCAAATACCTAAGTTAACCACGTGTGCCACATTGAAGCAACATAATCTTACTATCATATATGTTTAATAATTAGTTTAATAATTTGTTTAATAAATAGTAATAGTCGTAGATTGACTAAGCTATTTCCTCAACTTAAGTTGACCAGTTCCTACGGCTCTGTAATATCGATTGAAAATCGAACTGCTTATGAACGGCTTGTGAGTACCACCCATTAAAAGTTACATCATCTAGTTTTCATTTCCTTACAAACAAGTGAGAAAGCTGAAAAAGGAAAAAGAGATTGTAGAAATAAACGAAGCGTGTGATTGCTTAGGAGCGTAGTTTCTATACTAAATCCAATTTAGAGCCCCAAATCTTGTAGCCACATGGAATTAAAGTTAGAGAATTTTATAGGGAAATGTAAAAATTGATTCCGTGAAATAATTGCTGATTTTTCAAACACATTGAACATTTTAGAGAACTTTAAATAGATATTCGTCTGAAGTTATTATGCAAATCCCATAAACCTAAATAACTCGAATTTGCTTTGGAAAATTTTGTCAAATTTTAAACAAGTAATTTAGACTTCAAAACAAAACTCGAATTAAATCTTTAAGTAATTTCAATTTTATGAGAGTTACTGGATTTATGATAAAAAAGTGAAGTCTGAAGTTATGCCGATTAAACTAATATTATTTTAAGGCCTCCCTCTGAAACCTAATAAAAAGCATTTTCTTTCATATGTTGAAACTTGGGTAATTGAAAGGATCTAACAAATGATGAAAAATAGAAAATAACAAAGTTATTGAATGCGAGAATGTCCACATTGAATATATCAAAGGATATCCACGGAGATTATTAAACCATAATGAAGGCTGTTGAATATATAATTAAGTTGAGAACAAGAAACAAAGGAAAAGGTTTTAAGAACTTGACTCGCGTGGAAAGTAAACTAAAGTGAGTGAAAGCAAAATAACCAGTTTTGATCTTTGAAAAAGATTTACAGGAATCAAGAAGGACTAAAAATGTAGAAGACTTTGCAACTTCGGATCTATTAAGAAATATCCTCGGCAAACATCGACTAAGAAATATAGAAAAATTGACTTTTCATGGACAAATTTCGGATGACACTCGATGTACTTGATGGATGAGCCAAAGGACAGAGTTTTTCCGATGCAGATGTGCCTGTGGCTAAAAACAGGCCACGAGGTGGCAGCACTGTGGTAGGATTCGCTGGAATTACTCAACCATTCAAAGTCGATGAAGGAATTAAACTGAACAGTGTTAACTATTGTGATTTCATGGGGAATCTTTCTTTGAATGGTAATATTTCCAGCCTCGTAGTTTCAAAGTGGAGTGTGTATTTATGCACGACAATACTCCTTCTCATGTATTTAAGGTTACACTTGAATGTTTACAGGGGAGAAGATAAAAGAAATGGCCAACATCAAATCCCGATCTAAATCTGATCGAAAATTATAAAGATGAAATTATATAAAGGTGGAACTCAATATCACAGCAAAGAAAACCTACAGGAAGCTATGAAAACCAGAATGTCGGAAATTAAACCTGCGGAAGTAAAAACAATTCTTAAAATCAATTTGCTGGCAATTACTATTATTTATTTATTGTAAATTTTTCAATAACTTGTATATAAGTTTGTTATTCGTTCTATTATCGATTTTCATACATTGTTAATGATTTTGTTACCTTGCTATTGAAGTAAAAAGTGATTTCTGGTTTTGCATAATAATTTTTAACCTGCAGTTTTTGAAATAATAAATCCAATAACTTTAATGATATGTTGAAAGTACATAAAAAGTTATCTCAAATTCGATGGCCAAATTAATCATTTAAAATCTGAGAAAAATTGTTAAAAGCAACTTCGTTTTTTTGAGGATTATGTGATTTGCATAATGATTTCAAGCGGGCTGTAGAGAATGATAGATAGATAGATAGATAGATAGATAGATAGATAGATAGATAGATAGACAGATAGATAGATAGATAGGGCGAGAGAGAGAGAGAGAGAGAGAGAGAGAAACAAAAAGAGATATAGTAGCTCCTAATATAAAAGGCAATATCTATCTATCTATCTATCTATCTATCTATCTATCTATCTATCTATGTGTGTGTGAGTGTGTGTGTGTGTGTGTGTGTGTGTGTACGTATTGTTTATGATATATTTCGTTGTCATGCTGAGTTCATTCCTATGTGCAAAGTATGTATGTATGTATGTATGTATGTATCTATCTATCTATCTATTTCCGTCTGTTCATATCTATCTATCTATCTATCTATCTATCTATCTATCTATCTATCTATCTATCTATCTTAGTCTTCTATCTATCTATCTATCTATCTATCTATCTATGTGTGTGGCAATTTTCTACGTCACCAGAAAAGTGAATTTTACAGAGATAGGTGAATATCCTTTTCTCCGTGGAGTTTATTCAACTTGAAGTCTACTAAAATAATACAATATGTTTATGCTAGAAATATTCTATTAAATATTCAGGAAGTAATAAAAGTAAACAGCAACGTTTTGAAAATACGTCGAAGGTTTTTACAAAATTACTTAAACAATCATCGTTTCGATGAAACAGGTAAACACATATATCATAGACACACTCTGAATTATATATTTATATTTATTGCTATTTATTTATCTGAATTATCTGAATTATATATTTATATTTATTGCTATTATTTATCCTTCTTTCTCGCTTTTCTTTTCTTTGTCTAGGAGGTCCTGTAGTTTTTGTTTTGTGTATGCCATGAACAGTGCCAGAAACTGTTAGCATAGAACTTAGGATTATATTTAGCCATTTTAACTGTAAAACGATGAGACCTTGCCGCCACCCTAGTACTGGGCTTGAATTTGTAAAACTTTGGTATCAAAGAATAAAGTTCATGAGAAGAATTACAATGAAAAAGCTACAAAGGACAGGAAGTTGTAGAGAGCCATGCTCTCCCTCGTTGTGAAGGAACACTGCTTATAGATGAAGAAGAAGACGAAGATTGCTATTCATTAGGCTGGGCTTAATGAAACGGCGGAACTACAAGTCTAGGACGCCATCATGACTAGGTGAATGATCCTTTGAAATTAGTTTGCTCATGCGCACACATAGTGAATAGATAGATTGGTATAGACGAGTGAAGAGCTTACATAGATGAATTGACTTATACATCGGTAGATTGCTAGAGATAGGTAAAAGTATCTAGACGCTCTTAGCTTCTCACATAGTTATAATGTTACACAGATGATTAGATAAATAAATAGATATGTAAGATGAGAGAAGAGGAATAAAATTGCGGGGATGTCATGTTAAAGCGAGTGTGTGGTGAGATACAAGGTCGATCAGTGTCTCCCGATTCAAGTTACAGCGAGAGTCAATAAAACCTGGGGAGTTTGTCTGCTCAATAAACGCCCGTTGAGATGTTTGCAAACAGGACGAATCAGCAGGAGCAGAGCGCGATGTTTCATAATTTATTCACCATATGTGAAAGCAAGACGGCATCAAATAAAAGCTCACAACAGACGAAAATCTCCAGGAAGAACTTGTTTATAGCTGCTAGACACGAGAGAGAGAGAGAGAGAGAGAGAGAGAGAGAGAGAGAGAGAGAAGTTGGAATTTCCAAACTTTGCCCAGCGGCAAGAAATTATTCTGAATCTTTGCTTTGAGCCTTTTTCTATTAAGAACACTTACAGATACAAAATAAATCTTAAATTACAATTTTGAGAGAGCGAAAGAGAGAGGGGGAAAGAGAGAGCGAGAGAGAGGTGAGAAGAGCGAGAGAGAGAGAAAGGGGGAAAGAGAGAGAGAGAGGGGGGATGAGAAAGAGAGAGTAGGTGGAGGAAGTAAGAGCAACAGGGAGAGGGTAAGAGAGAGCGAGAGAGAGAGAGAAAGAGGGGAAGAACCAGCGAGAGAGAGAGATGGAAGGCAGAGCGAGAGAGAGGGGGAAAGACAGAGAGAGGGGGAAGAAAAAGAGAGAAGAGGTGGAGGAAGTGAGAGCAACAGGGAGAGGGTAAGAGAGAGCAAGAGAGAGAAAGAGGGGAAGAAGGAGCGGAAGAGAGTGAGGGAAGGCAGTGAGATAGAGAGGGGGAAAGAAAGAGAGAGAGAGAAAGAGAGAGAGAGAGAGGGAAGAGTAAGAGAGAGGTGGTGGAGGAAATGAGAGCAAGAGAGAGAGGGTAGGAGTGAAGAGAGAGCGAAGAGAGAGAGAGGGGAAGAACGAGCGAGAGAGAGAGGGGGAAGACAGAGGAGAGAGAGAGAAGGAAGAGCGAGAGAGAGGGGAAAGAGAGAGAGGGGGAAGAGAAAGAGGGGAAAGAGAAAGAGAGAGGAGAGTCGAGGGGAGAGAGAGAAAGAGGGAGAGGGTAAGGAGAGCGAAGACAGAGAGAGAAAGAAGAACAAGAGAGAGAGAGGGAAGGCAGAGCAAGAGAGAGGGGAAGAGAGAGAGAGAGAGGGGGGAAGAGAAAGAAAGAGGAGGTGGGAGGAAGTGAGAGCAAGAGGAAGAGGGTAAGAGAGAGCGAAGAGAGAGAGAGTGGGGAAGAACGAGCGAGAGAGAGAGAGGGGAAGACAGATTGAGAGAGAGAGAAGACAGAGCGAGAGGGGGGAAAGAGAGAGAGGGGGAAGAGAAAGAGGGGAAGAGAAAGAGAGAGGAGGTCGAGGGAGTGAGAGAAAGAGGGAGAGGGTAAGTGAGAGCGAAGACAGAGAGAGAAAGAAGAAGAACAAGCGAGAGAGAGAGAGAAGGCAGAGCAAGAGAGAGGGGAAGAGAGTGAGAGAGGGGGAAGAGAAAGAAAGAGGAGGTGGAGGAAGTGAGAGCAAGAGGAAGAGGGTAAGAGAGAGAGAGCGAAGAGAGAGAGGGGGAAGAACGAGTGAGAAAGAGAGAGAGAGGAGGAGGAGAAGACAGAGCGAGAGAGAGTGGCAAGAGGGAGAAGAGAGACCGCGCGAGAGGAAGAGGAGGAAGAGAAAAAGAGAGAAGATAAAGTGTGAGAAAGCGAGAGAAGAGAATGCGGTAGAAAGGGGAAAGAGAGAGCAAGAAAGAGGTAAAAGAGAGAGTGTGAGAGAAAGAGATCTGTTAATCATGGCAAATGTAATCGACTCAATGATTTCTAAATACTGGTTGAGGTTGGTTTTGTTTAATTCATACGAAGAAAGTTTGGAAAGTCCTAACACTAATTTTCTCACGGGTACCCCTTGCTGTTGGTAACATGTTACTCAATGCACCAAGCAGCACTACTCAGGTTTGAATCCAGAGATTTCCTTCTCCTAGACTGGTTGCCAATCAAGGCTCAAGAGCCCATTCTGCTATTTAACATATTTATTTGGAGGTAGTACTGCCTTGGGTCAATAGGGACACTGCACTATGCCACAAAAGCAAGAGAACCCAGTCATGTCTGTCAGACAATTTCTGTGACCACATCACTCCTTTCATCTAGTCACTTAACTCTCCAGACTGCAATCCCCTTGATTATTATGTGTGGGACGCAGTTGATCAGAAGATCAACAAAAACTTCTTGTAACAAGAAAGATGAAATGAAAGTAAGGATTATGGCAGCATTCACCGACTTATACAAGGAGACCGTCCAGAAGAGTTCCGGGAGATTCCGAAGTCACATGGAGGCTATGGTTGAGGACAATGGCGATTTTATCGAATAAATTTACACCTTTTTTTTTACATATTTTTGTGTAATTTTGGGAAATATATCTCCTAAAATGAGATTTCAGTATTATTTTAATTTTTTCGTCGTTTACACGAAAATATATCCACGCTGTATATGCAATCGACAAAGCATTTTGAATTCTTCATGCAGTAACTTAGGATGTCAATGGACAGGTACCATGTCATCCACTTCGGTGAAAATGAGACTCTTTACTTTAATGAACACCCCCTGGACCTACTGGCCTCAACAATTTTGTTTTTATAAGAATCTCCCTAACCGCATTTCTTGCCCGTAATTACGGTATTGAGCACATCAAAATGAAGTAGACGAGGCCAGCTAACATCTGACGACGACGTGTGCAGTCATGGTACATATTAGATGTCGTCATTATTCCCACATGTTGATTTGTTTTAGTTCAGAAGGAGATAAATACGTAGAATTTGGAAACATTTTTATCTTAAAATATTTCTCCGATGATCAGCAGATGAATAATTTTATTACAAAAGCACAACATCTAGATCAAATAAGAATAGATAAGTTCGCCTATCACCCGGTTCATACTCTTCGTTTTTTGAACAGGAGTAGAGTTTTATCACTTGTCCCTATTTAGGATTGGGTTTCTGGCTCATTTTAAAGTCTTCTCATTCTCTTTCACTCCCAGTAGACATTTGCGTCTTAGTGGCATTATTGCCTTGCTTGGGGTGAAATGATTTAAAAAGACAATAGTGTGATTCGTTTTAAGCGTTTGAATTTTTGATATTTACTTTAACTCTATCGTTACAGAAATTAGATTTTAATTAATTTCAACTCAAGTTTTTATGGTTTACGTTTCCCACATAATTTCAGGACTAGTTTTGTAAGAACAGAATCTAAAATAGTTCAGTTATATATTAATTGTAGAGGTCTTATAGATCATGACATTTTCGATTCATCGTTTGAATGAATTCGCTTTTCATTAAAACGGTGCTTTCCAAGTCAGAATTATGGTCTTAAATATTTCAATGGCACAAACTTTATTGAGCATGTTCTTTAATTTCCAATCTGTTGTTTTTGTTTTCAGTGTTCTCTTCTTTAAATCTTAGGATGTTTCACTAATGTGTCTGGAGCGCGACGGAGGGGGGATTATTGTTTATTTATAAATTCTATTTCTGATGGAATATTATTTTTTTTATTTTGCAATGACTGAAGTTTTAACTTTTTAAAATTTTTGTGGCAACTATTATATTGAGATTAGCTTATGTTTCTCTCATGTTTATTAATTATGGATCGTGTAGACAATATAAACAGACTAGTTTTTCGTTTTCATTTATACTTTCTTTATTGGTTTGGTTTGGTTGACGGCATATCAACATCTCAATGGGTTATTTAATGCCGACATGATTTTTATCACTGGTAATATTTTTGTTCAAAAATATATTGCTGATAATATTTTTTTACAAAAATGTATTGCTGGTATTAAAATATATTTACGCTTTCATAGTGTTTTGACCCCAGTTTGGGGGTTAACTATTTGCCCATGGCTGGGATCATAACAGGTGTTACCATTCCGGGTCTGTGCGGACCTGGGAACGCCAGCAGTAAAGAGGTGGTCCCACGCTCCTCAAAACATTTTGATCAGCGGCCTTACTGTTGGATATAGTTTATCGTCTTACCCAGGACGTTTCATTATTGGTTAGGAATAAGAGAAAATATCGAAAATAATAATAAAATGTTATACTATTCTTGTTATTTCATATAAAATGTCAAAAGAGAAAAAAACAAAAAAACAAAACCCTAAGTAAAGCCTACGGTATTGTCAAGTTATTATTTGAAAGGAATGTAATGTTGGAAAGTCTGACTATTATGAACATCGATAAACGAAAAATAAATTGGTAATACGAAAGCTGGAAATAATTAGATTTAATATCGTCACAAAAATAGATTTTAAAATATTTAAAATGTTAACAGGCAAAACAAGTGAATTGAGTAGTAAGAAAATATTAGAAGAACCTTGTGTTGCTAATGTATAACAAGAGAAAAGTTGCAAAGCTTAAGATATGAAAGTAATCACAATAGCAACTTGAAATGAACATGTTAAAAAAAACATGAATTGAGCGAAAAAATATATGAACAAACATTTTCAATATTAATTTATAGTCGTGGAATTTGAGTTACGTTGGATAGATTTTGATGTCTAGGAAATGTAATGGATCAATCCTATCAACAAGTAGGGAGTTGGAGTAATCTTTAACCCTAGTGTTGTAGACTGTCATATTGTAGGCTCGTTCATAGTTGATGATGGCATCAAAATAAATGCAGGGAATTCCTGACACTTTATAGACAAGACATTTTTTGGCGGGTACAAAATATTTAAGCTACAAGAGAACAGAAAAATTGATTATTGCATTCTTATTGCTAAAATGGTTTCAAAGACACTAAATTAATTGAATAACTCCAGTTTTTCCAAAAATTAATGCTTTAGAAAAATTAGTTCATTATTAAAAAGGCACACACACACACACACGCACGCACACGCACACACACACACACTCATATATATATATATATATATATATATATATATATATATATATATATATATATATAGAAAGAATAATACTATTCACTCACGGAGATTCCAATTGGAAGAGTAGAACACAAAATCAATCACTGATGTTATAGAACGACAAAGCATCCATAATATCTAAATAATGAAATAACATATTACTGAGTTATATCGGATATTGTGACAATCAAATGGATATTGTACAATCAAATGGATATTGTGTCAATCAAATGGATATTGTGACAATCAAATGGATATTGTGTCAATCAAATGGATATTGGGTCAATCAAATAGATATTGTGTCAATCAAATGGATATTGTGACAATCAAATGGATATTGTGACAATCAAATGGATATTGTGTCAATCAAATGGATATTGTGTCAATCAAATGGATATTGTGACAATCAAATGGGTATTGTGACAATCAAATGGATATTGGGTCAATCAAATAGGTATTGTGTCAATCAAATGGATATTGTGACAATCAAATGGATATTGTGTCAATCAAATGGATATTGTGACAATCAAATGGATATTGTGTCAATCAAATGGATATTGTGTCAATCAAATGGATATTGTGACAATCAAATGGATATTGTGTCAATCAAATGGATATTGTGTCAATCAAATGGATATTGTGACAATCAAATGGATATTGTGACAATCAAATGGATATTGTGTCAATCAAATGGATATTGTGTCAATCAAATGGATATTGTGTCAATCAAATATACGTTTTTGTAGTCTCGTATATTTTTTGTGTTTATTTTAGAATAAAATTGATTTCCCTTTCTTTACAAAATAAAATATAACATCTTCAAAAATATATTATCATTATTTGAATAATCATTTGATGTTCTAATGTGAACCATGTACAAAATCTATTGTTCATACGAATATAACAATACTCAGAAAATTCTATCAATATTAGGTTAATATCAGTTTTGATTTTCTATGAAAACATTGACTTGCCTAATATTGCCGACATCATGTAATTCGACAATTTCTTTTTACTCTAAACGGAAATTTGAATTTGGAGGCAGCATAAAATTGAGATTAGTTATAAACTTGTGCGAATAATGCACGCATCCATTTTTAAAAAATGGGAATCATGGATAAAATAAGTGGAATGAAAGAGGAGCAGGTTTCATTGATTGATGTGTTTTAGGGTCGGCAATTTTGTAACTGATTCAAACTTACACGCACCACGTCCCATGAAAGCTTTCCACAAATATTTTAAAAAAGGACCGATTTAAATGTTTCTAATATGCAAAAAATCCATGATACCCTGAAGATTTTACAATATTTTTTATCAACAGAACAAAATTTAAGTGGCAGACATTGTTACTATAAACATATCTGAATGATTCAAATAAAATAATTATACTTGCATTATTTACATTATTCGAACTGCTATCCTCATCTCCACTGCCATATTCACAACCTTTCGGTCGTAGTACGCTCCGGCCTTCTTCAGGTGATTGAAATTTCGTACTATCAGAGTACATTATTCTAGTTACAAGTGCCATGACTCTTCCGGATGTCTCGGTTATTTTCCTTTAACTCAACTCTTCAAGTTTTGGTTCACTACTGCTGTCGTCTGGTATTGAACTCACAACTCTCTGGGTCTAGTCACTGGATCTAACCAACGTCTTTATCCACTGGGCTTATGTGTGATCAATGATACATAAACCAAAACTAGAACAATATACCCCGGTGGACGAAATAAAGTGTTCGGCTCGAAATTCCAACCACCTGAAAAAGGCCGGAGCGTATAACGGCTGAAACGTTGTGAATATGGCCACGAAGATGAGGAAAACAGTCCGAATAATGTAAATAAGGCAAGTATTCATAATACCTCATCTCAGAGATATAGAGGCCGAAACGTTGTGAATATGGCCACGAAGATGAGGGAAACAGTCCGAATAATGTAAATAAGGCAAATATTCATAATACTTCATCTCAGAGATATAGCAAGATAATGATAAATGTTAGTAACTTTCCTCAGTGATACTAAATTTAAAATCGACATAAGCTTTTCCTACAAATTATACTGTTTATCAGTTCTTTTTAATGATATCGCGGTCTTTGTGTTCTTCAGATTTCGTAAAATATTTAAACAAATATCTTCAAGTAGACAGATATTTAAAAAGAGAAGAGAAATTCTATAAAAAAATATTGAATTTCTTGAAACGACAGTTTTTATTTTGTATTCATTTACTGAGATGTGCATACATTTCTTGGTTATTATGATCACAAACTCTTGGACTCTCAAAATTGGTAAACTCCGAACCTCAGCTTTTATTCAATCCACAAAGGTACTTCATATCCTCTTGTTGTACTATCAATGGAGAAAACCTTAAACCTAATGTCGCTTGTCTGTTTCTTCAACTATTTCAATTATATGATTTTAACATTATCAGTAGATTAATTAAGGGCTAGATGTTTCGAGCCTTCTACCTAAAATTCTTAACTGAAGGAGTAACAAGCGGAAAGTTGTGGCAAAAACAAACAAGATGGGGATGCTGGTCACATTAAATCAGTGCATAATGATGACGATTATTCATGTAAAACATTTAGATAATAAAGAATAAAATCAGATTTTAATATTCATATGTCTTTGTGTAGGAAAGCCGGACATTTTGAATTGAAGTCTAAGCAAAAACAAAGTAAAAGAAAGGTTTGATTTCAAATCAGAACTGAAATTCTTTCCTTCCTTCTTAGTCGCAGACCTGGTCTCTAGGCTACAATATCTAAAATGAACGTCTAAAGTGTGACGTGTCAATACGCCATGATGTTTCTGTGTCGGGTCAGGCAACAACAGACAACTAGAACACAACCGGAAATTGAACATCCGGTCACATGATCAATTTGAAACAGAGTTTTGAAACACTTCCAATTAAATGACAAGATTTATAATCTTCTGATTCCGATCACCGGAAAAGAAGAAAAAAAACAATCGTGGAATTTTTTATGGCAAGGTGTGGAAGGGAAATTTGGCATGAGCAGAACAAAATAAAGGTCAAACTACCCAACAAAAAAAAAAAGAACGCAAACTATCCCTCCCAGTAAACCGAAAAAATCGTTACCCACCTTTTCACCCTCACTCATATCCCAAGTTTGCCTTATCTCCCCTCTTATTGTTTACTTAATCTTGATTTAGACTTGCACTTTATTGAAGCCATCGGTTCGTCTATTGGATTTTCTTGAGAAAGGAAGAAATTAAAAATGGCGGGTAAGGGTAAGCACATACGCAGTTTTTTCTTCTGTCATTTATTTTTATTTCAACTTCGAACTAAATCTTTAAGGACAGAACATGAATTGTTTATACGCCGTTACCGCGTCTGAGTTGTGCTTTGTGTCTCCGGTTTTGGCGCGTGTATTTTCAAATGTCGTCTGTAATCTAAAGTTCACCTCCATGTTAGACACTCTAAATCTCATCTGAATCCCTGAGACTACAAGACTAAGAGACTTGAAACTCACATAACATTCTCGCCCAACCGTCGGTCCGATCGTCAGCATTTCGCTCAAGCACTACCAATGAATCGATATACTTTGTTTATCGAGCAAAATATATTCGCCTTTATTCATCCATGTCCCTTTAATATCGATCCCGGCTGACATCAACTTTGTGATATCGATTACCGCCTGGACAAGCAAATCTCATCGATCAATGCTTATGACATTGCTGCAAGATCAACGGATTATCTTGGCTGTTTATTCTTTCATTTTTAAACACAAAGTCGGACGGGGCGGGTAATTCGGGAAAAAAGAGAAACAAGAAAACTAGATAGATAGATAGATAGATAGATAGATAGATAGATAGATAGATAGATAGATATGAACAGTCTGATAGATAGATAGATAGATAGATAGATAGATAGATAGATATGAACAGTCTGGTAGATAGATAGATAGATAGATATGAACAGTCTGTTAGATAGATAGATAGATAGATAGATAGATAGATAGATAGATAGATAGATAGATATGAACAGTCTGATAGATAGATAGATAGATAGATAGATAGATAGATAGATAGATATGAACAGTCTGATAGATTGATAGATACGCAGATACATAGATCGATATAAAAAGTCTGATATATTTAAAGAAAAACAGACCACTTTAAGGATCCATTGTAATAATTTATTTCACCAGACTTTTATTTTTCCCTGGATCTTCAGACATCACTTTCAAAAGGTGAAACGAGAAATTAAATTAAATTTACACTTTTGACGGGCAGTATTAATCTTATATAACTTGACATAGAAGGTAACGAGGATTATGTGAGAGACATGGTCGAGTTTAGAGAGGGAAGGGAGAGTTTTAAAATTTCTTTTTATATTTCTTTTTATTATAATACTTAATATGAGGAAGGAGGGGGTAAGGGTCAGACATTGACCTATTTAATCGGTCAATGTCTGACGGGAAATGAAAAGGGAAAAAGAAAAAGGGGGAATTAAAGAGAAAAGAGATAGGGTTTTTGGGGGAAGACGAGGGGTGGTATAGCTTTAGCAATTTAGATAAAGATAGATTTTAACGCTTGATAGTAATTTAAAATTTTTAAAAAAACTCCACAAAGAAATTAATTTAATGCTTGTTAGCAACTGAAATATTCAACTTCTCTACAAATAAATTAGGGATTTAATATAAGTTGAATACTATATTAATAAACAACAATAATAGAAAAATAAGAGATTTACTAATAGTAGTATTTTAATATAGTGAATAACTGTTAAAGTAAAATCTTTATCAGTTTGAGTCTAATTCATGAATGTAATTTGTAACTATTTTTAGATGGCTAATATTTCTTAATTAAAGTTTAGGTTTCAAATCAAGATGGGATATGATTTGAAAGTAATATTAAATTATTATTATTTTCATACATATTAATAATTATTATTATTTTCATACATATACCACATACATATTTACGTAAAAATCACATATACATACATTCATGTACATGTGCAATTACACATATAACTACATACACATGTATCGATATACTCCGGCATATATGCACATACATATACAAATACCTACACATATAAAGAAATATAGTTTTAATGTGTACTATGTTTATGGGATAAGGCGCTCAATATCAAAGATAGAGCATGTGTAAATATAAAAGTGAACATTGAAATCAAAACTCAGAGGCGACAGGCTGTTTCATGCTAAACGCAATCATCCTGGCCACCTGATGATTGCGTTTGGCATCAAGCAGTCTGTCGCCTCTTAGTTTTGATATATATATATATATATATATATATATATATAAAGAGAGAGAGAGAGAGAGATTATATGAACTGAAATAGATGATATGAACAGACAGACAGACAGATAGATAGATAGATAGATAGATAGATAGATAGATAGATAGATCTAAGATCAATAGATGGGTCGAAAATATTATGATACTGAAATACAAATCCATCTTGTGTTGGTTTTAGTACAGACCTATGTAGTCTTATATTGACCATTGAAACTGTTCTTGTGATAACAATTTTCTTCTAAATACTTCTAATAAAACACATTACAAGGTGAAATTTAATTGGTTTATTTATCCTATGAATATAAGTTTTATTCTAAAACTTTTGCCAATCTAAAATTGCGCCTTTCTAGCAGTGATTACACTGGAAATCCAAAAATACGGACAATTTCTCCACACACGCAATTCTTCAAAAGGAAAACTTATAAAACCAGCGGAAAAAAAAAACAAACGAAAAACTCTTCCTCTATCTACACGGTGCGATAGATAAATTGTTGTCTAAATGAAAATAACACTGACATCTCATTTTAACAGATATATTTTCCAAAATGATATTCAAAAACATGTTGAAATACTAAAGTCTAAATTTATTCAATAAGATTCCCAATGGCTTCAACCACGGTGTCCAGATGACTTCGGAATCTCCTACAACTCTTCTAAACAGTCTCCTTGTTTAAATTGATGAAAGCTGTCTTACACCTTGCCTTCAGTTTATCTTAGGTGTTACAAGGAGTTTTGATGGTCTTTCTCTCAACTGTACCCCATACATAATAATCAAGGAGGTTAGAGTCTACGTGCCCAGATGTAAGGAGTGATGTGGTTGCAGAAATTGGCTGACAGACACGTTTGGGTTCTTCTGCATGTGTCGCGGGGTTTCAGACATAGGTTCTTCCAACGACACTCTTGATCCAGAGCAGCATTACCTCCTCAAGTCACTTGATGTAGGCTTCCGTGTTGAGTCTGAGGCCCTGTGGGAAGATGAATGGAGACATAATGTTACCATCACTAGTAATCACTCCAAACATCTTCATAATCACCATTAGACTCATCCAACTCTTTCTGAAACCTCTGCACTGTCCTCAGATTGACACCCAAACACACTAAAATATTGGTTTTTGGTGCTTTCAGTGCGAATTCTAAGTAGTACAGCATTCTCGACGGAGTAAATTGATTCATTGTGGTCTTTTTCTCATAGACGGTGATCAACTGGACCTACCATACTGTGCAGTTGACAAAATCACAAACAAAGCACATAAAAATTTACCCATTGCGCACTCTATCTATCTATCTATCTATCTATCTATCTATCTATCTATCTATCTATCTATAAAATGTTACGATTAAAAGAAAGACTATTTCGAATATTGTTTAATAAGAGAGAAAGAGATAGATAGATAGATAGATAGATAGATAGATAGATAGATAGATAGATAGTATGTGTGTGTATTTGTGATTTGTGGTGGCTAAAATAAGAGACACTGAAATCATCGTGTACAGATATTGAATAAAAGACATATTGTTTGTTATACATAAGAGGATGACGAAAAGTCTTAAAAGAGATGAGGAGAGATTGAAGAGAAAGAGAGAGAGAGAGAGATGGCGAGTGAGAGGGTGAAAAAAATAAAAATAGTTGGAAATAAAAAGAAATAAGAAAAGAAAAAGATAAAATTGATCGATCCAATCAGATAATGCTTTGATATTTCGTCCGTGTTCTGGCATATGTCATCGCAGCTTTTTCACGGTCACATCCTGCCCTTAGCCCCATCCCCGACCACTTGGTTCCGGTCTTTGGTCTCACTGTTCAGACAGCAGAAACAGAGAAATATCCTGTTCCCTCTGAGAGTCCCTAACACCACCAACCATTTCTACCACTAGGAACAAACGCTAGTGTCAATAACATACAACAGCCATTGTCATTAGCAGAGCGCGCACAGCTGTCTTCAAAATGATCTTCCTATCCGCAATATCATGATCGCGTCTCATTGTGTCCGTGCTGATCGCTCCTTCTTCATCATTATCACCATTTCCGCCGCCTCTAGTTGTTCTGTTTTTCACCTAAACTAGCTTCCTTGGAAATAGAAAGTGGGGGCGGGCAGTATTCCCTGTTGAAATTGAAAGACCAGGCAAGGTTATAACATAAAAGAAACTCTCAAGGGGAAAAAAAGATTCAAGCGAATATAACAGACGCGACTATGAATCATAAATAAGAAAGCGTGACAATGAATCGGAAAAATCAAGGAAGGAAGTTCCGTGCTTGACCTAGGAGTCATTTCGGTCTTCCAATCCTTTGTCGCATGAAGAATGAAGAAACACGGTGAAAACAACAAGTGTGTCCTTTGATCATCTCAAAAAGAATGAAAAGAAGATAAGAAGAAGTAGACCCCCCCCCACCAAAAAAAAAAAAAACCCCAAAAAACGATGCTACACCACCAGTGATAGTGGATACTTTAGAAGGCGCCATATTTTACTTGCTGTCTCGTCTGGCTTAGATGAATTCGAATGATGCTTTGAAAATTCAGGGACGCGTTCAGTCTTTTTCCTAAATTCAAGAAGCATCAGAATGAAATGAGGACGTTAAGTTTTTCTTTACTCGTTTTTCGGAAAACGATACATTTAGACATCTATCTATCTATCTATCTATCTATCTATCTATCTATCTATCTATCTATCTTATAAGAATTCGTACGTATCTTTCATTTTCTTTTCATATTGTTTATCTCATGATATCAAGCATGGCAGTGTTTTTCCTTTGATTTTCTCGCCAGTATTCGAATGTATATAAAATTCAGATTGATGATTTTTAAGCAACACAAAATCTTTTAAAAATGAAGAACTGTTGCAGAAGAATCTTCATACTTTCCATTTCTTCCTCTGTATGAAATGCTAAATCTTAGCAATCTATTCGAAAGGCAGAGGTTTTTGTAGTCCGATCGAAATTTAATCAAAGTGTTTATTTCTCTTTTTCCAACCTGTCTATGCATACAGCAGAACCGATTTCATGTATAAAATGAATTCTGCCAACATAATATCTGATCTGATTCGTCTTCTTCTTCTTCTTCTTCTTCTTCTTCTTCTTCTTCTGATTCTTCGAATTCTTCTTCTGATTATTCTTTTTCTTTTTCTTCTTCGTCTTCTGATTCTTCCTCTTCCTCCTCTTCCTTTTCTTCTTCTTCTTGATGTAATCATCTCAATACTGAGTTGAATCTGATCCTAACTCACCTTATATTAATAAAGTCACCCTTCCTCTTATCACCAACATCTTTCTTGCATTTCTTTAGGTTCTCTTTACATTCCACTTCTTCTTCTTCTTCTTCTTCTTCTTCTTCTTCTTCTTCTTCTTCTTCTTCTTCTTCTTCTTCTTTCAAATTTTCCCTTCCATCTACATTTTACCTCATTTTCTTCCACTGTTATTCTAATCATCTTCATTAATATTATTATCATAGGCCCTTCATCAGCAATAATATAATCATTGATGTTACTGTTATTATTCTAAAGCCCGGACGACAGATATTTGACGTAGAACTTTTCCTTATCCGATCGGGCGTTAAGATGAACACGCCGCCAGTCAGTGCATTGTTAATCTCCTTATTCAACCCCTTCTCTCTGTCTCTTTAATCCGACCAACCCAGTCTCAGTTAGTTTCGCCACCTCTCACCCACCTACTCGCTTACTCGGCACATTTTCGCAATATAGCCATTTCCACCTGAACGAACACAGCTTGTCGACTGCCAAGCGCCAGAACCAGAATCAAGTCCATCAAGTCGAACATTGATGTTGAAAAATCATGTCAGCTTTCGTTTGTTGGATTTACTTATTGAGGAAATTTGTTTATTCCGCCTGCAAAACATTTTCGAGCAGTTTGAACAAAATCAGTGAGAATCAAAACACAAATGCTGAGATCTTTTCTTTGCTTGTTTGACAATATTTCAAACAAAATAACTGATCACCGCCGTAGGTTTTTTTTTTAAAGGGCCAATATTCCATGCAATCTCATATTTACTTATTGCTCCTATTTAAATTGACTTAAAAGTAGAAATCTACCAAGTGACCGCTAACGCTCCAGCCATGATGAAATCAACTTTTCGAGTTAACTAGCACCGAAAGTAGACATTACTTACGTAGGGGACTAGCTTTTGTCGTGTCAAACACCACAAAAGATTAGAAAATATTCCAAAAGTATATAATATTATTTTATAAGCTTACTTTGCTACAAGACAACAAGTATGGGTACCCAATGAGGATCAATATTACTACTAATATTCTGCAAGCTTACTTTGTTTATCAATTACAATATAGTACTCTTCTATCATCCGTGTGGACACGGCTAAAATCTATTAAATAATGTTCAGCTAATCTATTATAACATTCCAAATTCTATTAGTAGTTCAAGTGAGTAGAAAGAAACGATTACATTATAACGCTAATTGAATTTGAACCCGTTAGGTTTGGTTTGGTTTGGTTTGGTTTGTTTTGGTTTGGTTTGTTTTACGGCATATTAGCATCAATGGATTATTTAATGCCGACCAGATTTTTAATGCTGGTAAATTTTTTTTTCAAAATATATTACTGGTAATTTTTTTCTGAAATGTATTGCAATATTTTCCTTTTTCAAAAACAGCTGGTAATAATGTATTGCTGGTAATAATTTTTCAAAAAAGTTATTGCTGTAATTAAAACCTATTTTTATACTTTCATCGTGTTTGACCCCATTTTGGGGGTTAACTATTTACCCATAGCTGGGGACCTAACAGGTGCTAACACCCTGGGAGCACCAGTTATTGATAGGTGCTTCAAAGCTCCTCAAAACCTCTTGATCAAAGGCCTTGCTGCTGGATGACCTTTATCGTCTTACCCAGTACGAAATCCGGTAGGAACAGTTTTTTTTTTTTTTTCGATTGCATTTCGTTCACTTTACGTTTTTTTCCCCCATTTTCTGACAAATCAAATGTCCAATGTAGGGCAGCAAAGAAAGTAACAATGAAGCATCAGATTTTACAAGTTTGTTTGAGTAAATTTGGCCATTCAATTTATATGCTATGATTGTCAGTGTGTTAATAAATTAAAGAAAGTATTATTGAAATAATAAGGCTATTATATTATTTTTATATTTATATATATGTGATATGAATGTCAGAAAATGTTGGTATTGAGGACTATTACTGTTATTATAACTAATGTTTACTCCAAATTTGTGGGCTTTTGGTAAACTAATATAAGTTTATCAAATTTGAATAAATAGCCTGCTTGATATTTATACCTACAAGACGAGATGACGTGTTTAAGGTGGGTCGTTCCTCAAGTTGATAAAGTCGGAAATCGAAAAATAATCCGAGCGTAACTTACGCTAGACCAACATCAGAGCAATCTTATATTTTTGTTTGCTTACGCATTGGTTGAGAAAATACTATAAGAAAAGAAAAAAAAAATTGTGTTATATGAAATTAAACACAAAGTTTTAGATGCTGTTATATATATATATATATATATATATATATATATATATATATATATATATATATATATATATATATATATATATATATCGGCTACTACTGCTATTAGGTATTGTTCTTTAAGTAAGTTCTTCGAGCCACTAGCATATTTCGTATAGACAAAAAACGTTAAAATTCCCTTCAGTTCTGCCGTGCGACGATAGCCGAGAGGTAAGAGAGGTAAGACTGATGTCAAATCAATCGATATCTTACCCATGATGACAATATATATATATATATATATATATATATATATATATATATATATATATATATATATATATAAGGTTATCCTATTAATTCTGTCCGAATTTTGATAAAGAAAAACAAGTGACCAAATGTTACATTTAATTACAGATTCAATCAACAATGTATTTTCCTGATTATCTATGACTTCCTTCCATCTATTAACAAGCTTACTAATTCCATTACTGTAAAATTCTTTTGGTTTTGATTCGAAGAACTCACAAGTGTCAGTTTTAACCTCTTCCTGTGTTACAAAAGCTGTTTCTTCCAAATGATTCTGTAATCTACGAAACAAATGGTAGTCTGAAGGAGCAAGATCGGGAGAATAAGGTGGATGAGTAATTTTCTTCCAACCAAGTTCTTCGATCTTTTGTGACATGATTCTTGCTGTGTGGGGTCGCGCATTGTCCTGATGAAACATCACCTCTTTTTCGATTCACTAGAGCAGGTCTTTTTTCCTCAAAGCTTGGTTCAAACGCTCTAATTGCTGACAGTATATTTGAGCATTAATTGTTGCATTAGGTGGTAAGAATTCAAAGTGGATTATTCCTTTAGGATCCCAAAGAAAGAAAAAGAACCTTTTGCCCACGAAGTTCTCTTCTCGGCTGTGGCTGGGGTCCTTCCCTTTACCAAGCCACTGTCTACGACGCTTAACATTTCGATAAAAAGATTCATTTTTCGTCGCCAGTCACAAGTCTATCCAAAAAAGGTGAAAAAAGTTGGCGAGAATGGAGAGAAGAGCAGATGTCAACTCGGGATTTGAGGTTGTTTTCAGACAATACATGAGGCACCC